AAAAAGTTGCCCAAGCTGGGCCCAAACTTACAATCCTACCTCAGCTTTCCAGAGCACCATAACACCTGGCTGCTTTTAAGCTTTCATAGTATTTTTAATTCATCTTATATTTTATATTTCCCTTTTGCTTTGATTACTTTCCTTGCTTTTTCATTTTAGCTATTAGTAAAGAATAATGATGGCTTTCAAAAACTATTTTATAAGCAGATCAAGTTTTGTTATAATAAACAGCATAACAAAAATTTCAGGGTATCCAAAAAATTCCTAAGCTCCTTTAAAAGGCTGAATTAACTAGATTATCCAATAAAAATGCTAGAACAAAAGAAATTGAAAAATTCCTTTCAGAAATGGAATTTTTATTTATTAGATAAAACATTTCTGAATTTTAAGCTTTGATCTGTATTTTATTTACTTTCTTGAATTCCTCAAAAAAGTATCTCTAAGAAGACCCTCACTTGCAAATGCAAGGTCCCAAGTTTGATCCCTAGTACAAGTTGATGAATATAAGATTATTTATTTTACCTTAATTCTTTTGAAAAGAATAGTAATTATGTATCATTTTATAAAACATGTTATGTAGAGATTTTATGTAGTTATAATTCAAGTTTATTTACTCTAGCAAGTTTAATTCTATATTTCAGTAACCTGAAACTTATTGTAGAGGTAATCAGTGTTGGATCTGAGACCATTAATGCTACATAGCCACTCATTCCACAAATGTTGCCATATCTATTTTGCAACCAAAATTATATTAGGTTCTCAGAATTCAGAGGATGAATAAACAAAACAGAAAAGTCAATAGTTGAAATGGGTTGAGAGTTGAGTGTGTCCAATAAAGGTTTATGTTTGGAGGCTTGGTCCTTGGAATAGCAGGGCACAGAAGGTAAATCTTTTTGATTTTCCAATAGTTGTGAAGACTGAACCCAGCAACCTTCTCACTGAGCTATATTCTCAGTCCTTTTTAAGTTATCACTAAATTGCTAAATTTCCCAGATCGGGCTAGAACTTGCAATCCTCCCACCATGCTTGAATTACAGATGTGTGTCATCATGCCTGGCCACAGAGGTAAATCTTTTATGAGTGGAGCCTAATGGGAGGTGATTGGGTCATTGGGGGTGCTGCCCTAAGGGGAGATTTAGTTTTCACCAAACCCCAGGGAGTGGGTTTTTTAAACTGAGTTTAACCCCTCCTTACTATATTCCCGTCTAACCATGTGATCACTCTCTTGAATGCATTCTTGTCATTATGTCACCTGCCATGATGTGATATAGCTAAGGGGGCACTCATTAAAGCCTAGCAAGTGTTGGTGCCATGCTCTTGAAATTTCAAAAGTGTGAACTAAATAAGTATTTTGTTTTAGCAACAGCAAATGGACTAATACAGTAAGGATAAGTATTATAAAGAAGAGAACCTATTGAGTAGCATAACAAGTGAAGGTGATGGGCCATTATAGCTCAAGTTAGTGTCTCTAATAAGGTTGTGGCTTGATCAGAATCAAAGGAAGCACAAGAACAAGCCACAAAAACACTAAGGAGAGCTCCAACAAATTGCAAGTATATCTTAGTCAATTTCTCACTGGGACAAATGACCCAACACTCCAATTTTAGAGGAAGAGAGATTTAAACTCACGTTTTCAGTCCATAGTTGACTGGCTCCAAGACAAGAAATACAAATCTTTGTCTGAGAAAATCGATCAGAAAAGAAAGAAGCTGGATGTGGGGGTGCATGCTGGTAATCGCAGCACCCAGGAGGCTGAGGTGGGATTGCCACGATTTGGAAGGCATTTTAAACTACAGCGTGAGATCCTGTCTCAAAAACGAAAACAAAACAAAACAAAAAGAAATAAAAATTCAATGAATACCATAAAAGTAATCAAAAGATTGTCTAAAACTGAATAATTAAAAAGAAATAGCTCTCCCGGTCCCCTCGCCCGCCCCACAGGCCTGCACCCTCTGCTCCCCGCCCCGGTCCC